GTCACGTCCGTTAATTCCACATCCACACGCACGGATTAACATTGATTTAATACATTAATGTAGCCTTTGTTTCTGCTAAAAGAGGTGTCGACCAGCTGGGGCAACAAGAAAATCGCCGTAATCGAGTGTGACTATTAAAAAATAAATCATTACGTCGGGGTAGCATTTGCTTGGTATTTCCGGTTATTTCTCCACTGGTTAACATGGGTTAACAATACCGTGTAGCTGTCACGTTTGAAGGGGACGAAATCGTGACATCTTCACGTCTCCCAGCATGGTAAATCGTCACATGTTCACGTCTTGCCGTGATACCGGGTTGCCTCAAGAAGGCACGAATGGAGGTGGCCGAAATGACTTGGTTGAAGAGTTCGTTGCCTGAGTGGTTACAACTTTTCACAAGTTGTCCTGAGGATTGGTCCGAAGCTTCTAACCCTTTCCTCGGATCCGACTACGGTCCTGTTGGAGGTCCACGGAGTCTCCAAAAAGCCTCTAGGAGACGCAGGGCCAGGATTCCAGCCCGTGCTCCAACAGCCATGATCCCGGCTTCAGTTCCGGTTTCCACATCCCTGGATCCATGCACCAGTACCGGTCCGCAGAGCTATGATTCCTTGCTCGATTACCTGGCCCACACAGCCATGGTCCAGGCCTCTGTTCCGGTTCCAGCGGCTCCAGCTCCAGCCTCAGACCTTTTCTCAGGAACCCGTCTGGCGTTTGGAGGTCCACGGAGCTTCCAAAAGGTCTCTGGAAGATGCAAGGCCAGGATTCCAGCCCGTACTCCAGCGGGTCCGGCCCCAGTTCTGGCCCCAGCGGCCATTGTTCCGGCCCTGGTTCCGGCCCCAGCAGCCATGGTTCCATGCTCCAGTGCCGGCCCCCACAGCCATGGTTCCGTGCTCCAATACCATCCCACACAGCCATGGTTCCGTGTTCCGGTTCCGTGCCCAGTAGCCATGGTTCCGGCTACAGAACCGTCCCACACAGCCATGGTTCCAGCCCCAGTCCTGGCCCCAGCAACCATGGTCCCGGCTTCAGTACCGGCCCCAGCAGCCATGGTTCCGGCTTCAGTACCGGCCCCAGTAGCCATGGTCCGGACTCCAGTTTCGGCTCCAGGACTGGCTTACCGGCCGACGCCAGCTCCCCGAGTCCTGTCGGCGTACCGGCCGACTCCAGCACCTCGTCTCCTGTTGGCTCTCCAGCCGACGCCAGCTCCCCGAGTCCTGTCGGCGTACCGGCCAACGCCAGCTCCCCGAGTCCTGTCGGCATACCGGCCGACTCCAGCACCTTGTCTCTTGTTGGCTCTCCAGCCGACGCCAGCTCCCCGTGTCCTGTCGGCTCTCCAGCTGACGCCAGCTCCCCGTGTCCTGTCGGCTCTCGAGCCGACGCCAGCTCCCCGTGTCCTGTCGGTGTACCGACCGACACAAGTCCCCTCTCAAGTCCCCTCTCAAGTCCTCTCTCGAGTTCCCTCTCAAGTCCCCTCTCAAGTCTCATCTCGAGTCTCTTCTTGAGTCCTCTCTCAAGTCCCCTTTCAAGTCTCCTCTCAAGTTCCTACCCGAGTCCCCTCTCAAGTTTCCTCTCTAGTCTCCTCTCGAGTCCCCTCTCGAGTCCCCTCTCAAGTTCCTTCTCAGGTCCCCTTTCGAGTCTCTTCTGGAGTCCCATCTCAAGTCACCTCTCGAGTCACCTCTCCAGTCACCTCTCCAGTCACCTCTCGAGTTCTCTCTCAAGTCACCTCTCGAGTTCCCTCTTGAGCCCTCTCGAGAGTTCCCTCTCGAGTCTCCTCTCGAGTTCTCTCTCGAGTTCCCTCTCGAGCCCTCTCTCGAGTCTCCTATCGAGTTCCCTATCGAGTCCCCTCTCGAGTTACCTCTCAAGTCAACTCTCAAGTCTCCTCTCGAGTTCCCTCTCCCAAGTGCCGTTGGAGGTTCCGCTGGGGGTCCTGCCAACTCCATATCCTGTCCCGTTGGGGATCCCGCCGACTGCTCTCCTGCCGGGGGTTCTGCCAACTCCATGTCCTGTCCCGTTGGGGATCCCGCCGACTGCTCTCCTGCCGGGGGTTCTGCCAACTCCATGTCCTGCGCCGTTGGAGGTCCCGCCGACTACTCTTCTGTCGGGGGTCCTGCCAACCCTATGTCCTGTGCGGTTGGAGGTCCCGCCGACTACTCTCCTGCCAGCAGAGATGGGGACTCGAGTCTGTGACTCGGACTCGAGTCGCACTTAAGTCGCACACACAGAGACTTCAGACTTGACTTGGACTCCTGCTCAAAAGACTTCGGACTCGACTTGGACTCGTGAACAATCATTGTGTTTTCTATTTTTGGCGTATTAAAGGTGGGGTAGGTAAGTTTGAGAAACCGGCTCGAGATCGCTAGAATTTGAAAATACACAACCGGAGAAAATCTGCCACTTCCTCACAGAGCCCCTCCTCCAACACACACGAACGCGCACATGACCAATGAGGGCACGAGATAAGTTTGTGCCCCGATGGAAGGCTGACAGGCAGGTAGGCCATCCAGTTACTTTAGCCGGGCCGGCTATCGGGATGTTAAGAGCATTCCATGGAATATAACAACAAGTGTATCTCGAGCCGGTTTCTCAAAGTTACCTACCCCACCTTTAACATTAACATTAACATCATGGTAACACCATGGCGACCGGCGGCACACCTGCAGCTGTACCGCTTGTAATTAGGTTCAACTATAAAAACTTCGAACAAAACGCCGGCGGCACCAACAAAAGGAGCGCACACTGCAAAGTCTGCAATATTAAAATCAAGGATGCTGGTGCAACAACGTCACATTTCATCAGGCACTTGAAAACTCACCCGGAGAGGTCAGTCACATTAACGCATATGGACGGTTAGCAAACATGTTTAGCTCAGCATCAGCTATGTAATGTTAACTTAGCTTGCTACTAGCTTTGTAACTGAATATTTGAAAAGATGAGTGAATGTTTGCTTGTCACACTTGTTTGCGTTGAGTGGCGTTGACATCCAACTCTTGACATGACATAAAAAAGGTCGGTAACGTTAATCATTACGTTCCGCTGCCACCATCTACTGGCTAACGTTAAACGTAGAAAAATACATAGTTACATACATAAATACATCTGTCGGTTTATAGGCAGGTTACAGGTTTATTGTTGACCACGTAACGTTAATGTTACAGGTTTATCAGGTTACCATTACACTGGGTTTGAGTGAGAGGATAGAGGAATATGTTTATTTATAGTAGACTTAAAAGATGTAATTAGAGACCCAGTGTAATTAAACAATACGGTTGCAGAGGTCACATTTTAACATTTTTGTCCACTGGCCAAATGGCTAGCCTAGTGAATGTTGAAATGTTACCAGCCACTCAATAGATTGCCATTGTTATTTTTGGCTGGTGTGTGCAACATACAGTACCAGCCACTTGCATGATTTACCAGCATTTGGCTGGTAAATGGTGTTAATGGTAGATATCTCTTTTGGAACAGGTCATGTTTTAATATCACCAGTTCAGTATATTTCAGATAATATTGCAGCAATACTTTTTTAGTTGCAAAGAACAAATGTTTACTTTTAAGTACTTTTAACACAGTTTCCCTGCGGGGGATTAATAAAGTATTTGTGATACTGATTTCTGATTCTGAAGTGTTTTGCTTATAAGTTGTTTGCATTTAGCTAAACTGTGATGTTTTTCCTCATATTGCATTGCAATAGCCTGTTTAAAGTGATCATATAACAAACAACTAATCAGTACTGATACTGTATGCTAATAGATATAGGAGTGATAATAATACAGTAAATGCTTTGAATTTCTTAGATATAGCTGTGCAGTATTCTTAACAGACTGGATAGCAGCAGACAATAGAAGGCTTATTACAACCAGATGAGACTTTTATTTTTTAGAGACTTGAGACTTGACTTGGACTCGTGACCAAAGACTTGAGACTTGATCAAGTCTCACCCCACAAAGACTTGAGACTTGACTTGGACTCGTGACCAAAGACTTGAGACTTGACTTGGACTTGCAAAAAAAGACTTGTGAACATCTCTGCCTGCCAGGGGTCCTGCCAACCCTGTGTCCTGTCCTGTTGGGGGTCCCGCCGACTACTCTTCTGCCGGGGGTCCTGCCAACCCTATGTCCTGTGCCGTCGGAGATCCCGCCGACTGCTCTTCTGCCGGGGGTCCTGCCAACCCTACGTCCAGTCCCGTTGGAGGTCCCGCCGACTACTCTTCTGCCGGGGGTCCTGCCAATCCTATGTCCTGTCCCTCTGGGGGTCCCGCCGACAACTCTTCTGCCGGGGGTCCTGCCTACCCCTTGTCCTGTTCCGTGGGAGGCCCCGCCATCACCTGTCTCGCCGGAGGTCCTGCCAACTCCTGGTCTTCTTCCGTGGGGGATCCTGCCGAAGCCTGTCCCACTGGCTCCGGTTCCTGTTCGGCCGACACCGGGATCTGCCCGGCCTCCGGAGCTGTCTGGTCTTCGCCCTCGAGCCCGGCCCCCTGAGAGCCGCGGTCTTCGCCCTCGAGCCCGGCCCCCTGAGTGCCGTGGTCTTTGCCCTCGGGCCCGGCCCCCTGACTCTTCCTGCCGCTGCCTTCGCCCTCATGCTCGGCCCCCTGAGTTCGCCTGCTGTGGCCTTCGCCCCTCCATGGTCTCTGCCTTGCCCCCGGGACGTCCGCCCGATTCCCCACCATGGACTCTGCCTTGCTCCTGGGCCGTCTGCCCGAGACCCGTCCTCCAGACCCCCGAGACCCACCCTTTCCTAGTTATGCTTTCATAGTATTTGGTCATTGTCAACAAACTACATTTCTGACCTGATTATGGCGCTATATGAAAATGTAAGGGATCACCAAATTCATAAGGATACATTATTTGGACACCAAGACCATCTGTACCAAATTGTTTAATGATCCATCCAACAGAACAGACAACAATGGCCACCCATAGACACACTGTTATTTTGACATTGAAATGTGGGGAAAAAGCTTAACTATTACCATAGAAAACAACATTTAAATGAAAATGTACCCTTTGTTTAGTTTGACGTTCTACAGCGACCACAGAGGAGTACATCACGTCCACATCTCTATTAGCTTCTGACCACTGTGGAAGAAAGAAGAGACGGACACAATCAGATCTATTTTACAATTTCACTTTAGATTTTGCTTCAAAAAAACAAATGGTTTATGATGAAATAATAAATGCTGCCTGAGAGAACTTATCTTTCTAATTCTGTAATCCTGTTGTGAAATAAAAGTTGTGTTTTTATTGGTTAAGGGTTACCTTTTCTGAAGCTCTTCTCATGTGTTTAACATCGCTGTACGTTACTTCCTCTTCAGCGAGACCAAGCTGCAAACCATCAACATGAACAATTCTTCCTTTTTAGGGTAAACAGCTGATTTAAATCAGCATCAACATTTAAATCACCATAAGAGTTTACCCAAAACCTAATACTAAATTGTTTTTTTATTCGAATTTGTTATGTTCTGTGCCAATCGTTTTCACACATTGTCTTACCTGACCTGTCTCTCTTTTTCTTGACAGCACTGTATGTTACTTCCGCATTAGACTGTGTTAAAATATGACATAATTTGAACGACAGATATGAACCAAAAGCCTAATGTTTAACTGTCCTTTTACAAAGAAGAAAATAGTATGAATAAGGGTAAGGGTATTAGTAATTATGACAATATACATCATGTGTAATAAGTATTAATGTGCTGTCTACAGTGATTCATTGTAGCTTCAAAGGGACAGTACAGTAAAGTATTATTTGATTTAGAATTGCTGTAGTGTGAAATTAAGTTAATACTAATTTCCTTTCTTGTAAAATATTGAATTTTATAATTCTTACAATTAATTAATTTCCTTTCTTGTAAATAAATGTATTTGGAAATGAATGATCATATCTTACAATTATTGTGGCTGGGGATTCTTCTTTGGTCTGTCCTAAAAGTGAAGCAATAAAAAAGTATTTTTAGTGACAATAATGCACAGTTATCTGCATTAATAGTAAATATATTTATGATTAACGCACAATAATTAAAATGCTATTATTTGGATTGAGCATAATTCGGCATAGACTTACTGTGCTTTTTGAAAATGAACCAAATAAATATGGCCACCATAACAATGAAGATCAGCAAACTCAAAGGGATGATGAAGTTCTTTAAGTTCCCTGAAACACTGCGGCAGGAATACATAAATAAAAAACATACAATGTGAATGACAGACTTGTATAAACTTCAACATTTGCATGATAACGACAAAGTCTCTCACCTTTGCTGCTGTTTCTCAGTAACAGTTATGTGCACCGGCATCTGTAAGTCTCCTTTAACACACCAATACCAGACACTGCTCTCTGTCCTCAGTCCGCTCATAGTCACAGTGAGAACTTGGTAATCAATGATTTTGATGGTGACTGTTGAGTTATCTAACGATCCATTCGGCCATGTCACACAGGAGCTGCCCAGCCTGCACCACTTTATATCTCCAACGTTATGATAGTGATAATTGATGGTTATTTCTTCTCCTCTGAATCCTGTCCTCTTCTGTTCATCCACATACAGATATGGTGTGCCTTAAAGGAAAACATAATTCAATGGGAACTTGTAAGCAGCCTATTTGGTACATGCTCCTGGTTTAAATATATATTTAATAAAATTACATCTCGTAAAAGCATTATTTAAAAATAAGAACGATGAAGTTATTGTAAAATCGAAGTTTTGAAATGTTACAAAATATTTGAAAAGTTAATAAATAGACTCTTACCTCCTGTGACTGACAGGTGGAAATCTGTTCCCGAATCATATCCTCCATTAATCTCCACACCACACCAGTAATAACCAGTGTCCTCTTCAGTCAGGTCATTTATAGTCACAGTGAAGACTCTTTGTTTTTTGTCATCAGAGATCGAAAACTTTCCTGAACTGCTTGGTTTGTTTGTGTTAACTTTATCAGAACAGAAGTTCCAAAGATATCCTTTACACAAGTATTTCACATTGTTTATGTATTGTGATTCATAGAGACACGGGATGGTGATCGAACCTTCAGCTCTCACTGACACTTTACTGACTGTAGTTATGCTGTGAATTCCTGCAATAAAAGCAAACCCAACATTATAAAAAGTTAAATAAAAAATGATCAATACTCTTCCTTTAGATGGCCTACATAATGTTGATGTTCATATTAGCTCATGTTTAAACAATTACGTCATTAAGCATTCAAAATATTAGAAATTCATTCTATTATACACAAAAAATATGTTTTTAAGCCTTGATTCTTGTGCCTGACCTGTAAGTCCAGTGAAGATGAGAAGAAAGCTCAGTTGAACCGTCATATCGGGGAGTGAGTGAGTCAAGCTAAACCACATGAACCCTATCACTGACAGACTGAGTCTTTCGTTCCTTTTTTGCAACTCTTAATATCTCCTCCTCCTCCTCCTCCTCCTCCTCCTCCTCCTCCTCCTCCTCCTCCTCCTCCTCCTCCTCCTCCTCCTCCTCCTCCTCCTCCTCCTCCTCTAAGTCCCATGTCCCAATTACTGTATATACCCTATATAGAGTTTGTTGTTTTACCACAGCTCAATTTAACAGTTTTTCTTAATTAAATTACAAATGCATATGGTAAATAAATGCTCTTGAAGTGTACGTGTCTTTTTGTGTACTTTACATAGATCGTTGGTTTATAGCTCCCCCCTCTGTAGTTTTTTCACGTGCTTAACTTAACATTGCTATATATTTTTTATAAAATAGATGCAGTAAACCAGATCTGATTAGATACCATAGCCTTCTTTGCTAATATAGAAAAGCATGAACCACTTCCTATAAATACTTCCCTTGTAAGGCGTAGACGATCAGAGGAATTACCATGAAGGTTTATTAATATCTATGCAGCTAGTGCGCTTTACAGTAAAATGTACTGTAGACTATGGGGGAAGGTCCAGAGGTTAAACATGTTTTAAACAAAAGACCATCACTGACTAAAACATGTTTAATAATGAAAACATTACACTACAAGTAATTGCAAACTTTAAGCCATTGTATATTCAATTAGAAATAATAAAGCTTCACATATAGGTTGTTATGTACATGTCTACATAAAACACATTATTCTTTCATTTAAAAACCTGTGTTTCAGTAACCAAAGTGTAGACACATGCAAACTTAAGAATGTCAACTTTCCTAGATGTACCTGCTGCTTAAAGCAGACATCACATCATCATAATGAAAGCTTTAGCGCAAGTTCAATAAGGAAGACCTAACTCGAGTCACTCACACGTCACTCTATGGCTCCCTTCCCCCCTCATTAAATACGAGGGCGTCACCCCTCAGCAGCCAATCGCTGCACATGCTAAATGCCTTAAATGCCTGCTCTTCCTCCCTGTCAGTTGTCATTGCAGATGATCACACGCAATGGTAGTTGCAATACAATACTGCTTCTCGTGAGAAAAACCGTAAGAAACAACTAGCTCAAGATGTCCAACTCGGACAATTCGGAACACGAACCTTCTCTGGAAGTCTCCGATCCCGGTTCGGCTCCCCACAGCGGCTTATCAACAGAGGAAGACTTCCTCATCGCCCGGCTCCTGCAGCAGGGCTTTCCCACAGCCCCAGGCCTCACTCTCTCTCAGCGGCGATAGCTCTCGGACCAGGTCTCCAGCGTAGCTCCCCAGTCCGGGGCAGCAGCTCCAGCCAGCTTCCCAAAGAGCAGGACGAGGACGCAGCCGCGGAGGTAAAAAAGGGCAGGAAGTCGAGCCCTCCAGGATCCCGTCCCCCTCCAAAAAATCCACCCCTTCTCAGGCTCGCCAGTCCGGGAGCGTCACACACCCCTATGGAGAGTAGCGCGGCCGGCTCCCTGCAATCCCTGGCTAGCTCCATGATAGCTATCGATGCTCGCCTCCAGGCTCTGGAAGACTCCGCCACAGGAGCTTCAACTTCCGTTGCACTCAGGTACTAGTTTTAACGAAAACGTTTGCACTCGACCCTTACACAGGGTTGGGTTGTAACGGAATACATGTAACGGTGTTACGTAATCGGAAGAAAAAGAAAGAAAAAAAAATAAAAATCAGTATATTCAGCTGGCGTTACATTTGAAAAACGAGTAAACTGAGTGCAGTTACTTTCGTAAACCTGAAGTGAATACTTATTGGAATTATTGGTGGAAAGTTTCCTCACAATGTAATATTCATTACCGGCAGAACCGTGTGCACAGCGCTGCAGCGTATCTGCGAGCGAGAGATGCAGCGTGTCCGTGAGGCCCCGCCCCGCACGCAGATGAGAGAGAGAGAGAGAGAGAGAGAGAGAGAGAGTTCTCTTTCAAAACATATTGGAAGGTAGAAACGGAGATGTTTAGATAAAACGTGGAAGATAACGTTTATGTAGCATTTATTTATTGTCGAAATGATGACATTCATAACGGGATCAAATCTAACTGAATGGCCTGCTGCTGCCGAATGCATGGGGCAAGTAACTGGGAAAAGTTTTAAAAGTGATTACATCGTTTCAGATAATAAATAATAATGATAATGTATTCTATTTAGGGGTGCCTTTCAAAGCACCCAAGAACACCTTACAATGCATAAACTTTTCCAAGGAAAGGTTTTAAGACAGTACAAAGAATGCAGTCTGGGTGAGTTTTTCTTTTTATGTGCGGTGCAGATGAGAGAGCTGTCAAGAATGACACTAAAATGTTGTGTTCGTGCTCTTCATAAGCCATTAAAACAGTAAAATACGTGTCTCCCGTTCACCAAAACATACCCATCTGTTATGGAAAAGAAAGTATTCTAAAGAGAAAGAAGAGGAGAAAAGAAAAGATAAAAGAAGAGGAGGGAGGAAGAAAAAGAAGAGGAAAGGAAGTATTCTAAAAGTAATCTGCCACCGGTACCGGCGGGATCGTGGTTAGTTTCCGATGCGCAGAAGAAAAATCTGGCCCACCCTATATTTTTACAGGCCCACCCTAAAGTAAATTTCTGCCTACGCTACTGGTCCGCACAGCAGCAACAACCAATCACATGAATCTCTTGCCCCCGACACACAAAGCAATAGCAATGTTAAAACTAAGTAAACTGGAAAAAAAAAAAAAATCCCCAACAGGCTAAAACCTACCAGTTTCACCCACTGTCTCTGCCTCCTCCCTCCATGCCTCGCTCCTCTGGTTTGTATCCCGGTAGATGAACAGAGACTGATCATACAGCACCGGGTGATTCATTACCGCCATAATGAGTTTTCCCTCACATTTTTGGAATATGAGGAATTACCTGCGTAGTCTCTCCCAACATACACGCGGTCTGATTGGCTAGCGCTTGTACCGGCAGATTTGCATAAACGGGATTTCATTGGCTGACGCTTCTGCCGAGGCGCCAAAAGTTGAACATTGCTCAACTTTTTGAAGCGAGCAACGCCAGCAAACGCTCCACGTCGCTTCCCAAAATACAGTTCTACTAAAAGTGACGTCACCCCATTCAAAGTGAATGGGCAGAAGCGTTTGGAAGCTGTAACGCACGCCACCGTGTGGACGGGCCGTCACAGTGGCTCTGCGCCAGAAACATCAACAAATAAATAAATAACTAAAAAATAAAATAAAACATTCTGGAATATCACCCCTCCACTCCCATTAACATCCCTCAGCTAGCAGCTGCGCTATCTACAGATTCCGTGTTTGTTGACTATCTCCCGTCAGGGCTCTCCCAAGGCTTCAGGGTAGGGGTCCTCCCATCTCCCACAGTGACTTTCGTAGCAAGAAACTTACAGTCAGCCGCTAAAGAACCCAACATAGTTTCCCAGCTCATCGACAAAGAACTTCTCAAAGGACATATAATCGGTCCTTTTAGCTCCTCCCCCTTCTCAGTGTTCCGTTCAAATCCCATCGGAATAGCCACACGTAAATAAAAGGCTGATTTTCGATCTGTCCGCTCCCTGCTCCGGCCCATTCTGCAGCGTCAATAGCATCATCCCTCCAGATCAGTTCTCCCTTCACCATGCCTCAGTGGATAATGCAATAAAGATGATCAAGTTCACTGGGCACGGAGCTCGGCTCTCCAAAGCGGACATTACCGATGCCTTCAAATCATCCCCATTCATCCGTCTCAGTGGAACTTGTTCGGTATTAAGTGGGAGTCCAAACTCTATCTTCGCGTTCGCCTGACCTTCGGGTGCAGAAGCAGCCCCTGCATCTTCAATTCCTTCTCGGAAGCGCTCTATTGGATCCTGCTGAACATCGTCAGAATCCCCTCCGTCCTTCACCTACCGGACGACTTCCTCCCCATAAACCCGCACAGGACAGCTCAGGGATCTCACTGGCCAAGCTTAAACACTGCTTCAGGAGTGAGGTGTCCCTCTCTCCAAAGAGAAAACGTTAGGTCCCGTCACACGCTTAGAGTTCTTAGGCATCATCCTCGACTCCATAGACATGAAGGCGTCTCTCCCCTCAGACAAATCGCAGCGCATCCAGGACATCACCAAGTCATACCGCGAGCAACAAGTTATCACAAAACAACAGTCGCTCTCCCTTCTCGTACACCTCAACTTCGCCATGCACATCATCCCCCAGGGGCGCTCGTTCATCTCCCGCCTCCTGGACGCAGCATCAGCGGTCGACAACCTCCATGACTGCGTTTTCTTAGACGAAGGCTGCCGCTCAGACCTTCGGTTCTGGTCCCTCCTGCTCGCCCACTGGAACGGAATTACTTTATTTTACGATGGCCTCGTGCGTTCCTCTGACTCAATGAGGTCTTCACGGATGCCGCCCATCCATGGGTTTTGGGGGGTTTCTTCCAGGGAGAGTGGTTCGCAGGGTCATGGCCCCGTCAATTTCTACCTCAAGCAAGTTCTCACTAAATCCAGCCTATCACCCATATCATACCCGGGGCATTCCTTCAGGATAGGTGCAGCCACCTCTGCTGCTAATCAAGGTCTCTCTACCTCATCCCTACAACAACTAGGACGGTGGTCCTCCTCCGCCTTCACAACCTTCATTCGTCCGGACATCAGCGCCGTACGGGCTTCCCAAAGATCTCTCAGACCCTAACTATGGTAGTTATACATATAACTGGTGGTGGCTCAAACACATTCACAAGTATACATGTCTCACTAAGGTTCCTGATATTCAAAACTGCATTCCTGTCCTAATTCCGCGGGCCCCGCCCACAGGGAATAATGTCTCGTCTCACGCTGCAACCACATGTAACAGGCTTCATCTCCGGCACACAGGTATTTCATTCCCAGGCCTTGCTCAAACGTATCAGTGTAAAATGTATTTCCTGCAGTCCGCGTGGACTCGGGCCACCGTACACTCCGGTGTCAGTTACAAAACAAAGGAAATAAAGAAGGAGTAAAGAAAAAG